GAAGGCTGTATACGTTCAATGAGTGGTTAAACAAAAGGCTGTAATCATTTTTTTGTTTTGGTTTTCTTTTTGTTTTTGAGACAGGGTCTCACTGTGTAGCCCAGACTGGTCTCAAACTCACTGTGTAACCCAGACTGGCCTCGAACTCGCAGCGATCCTCCTGCCTCAGCCTCCTGAGTGGGATTACACTCCTGTGCCACCTGATCCTGCAAGGGTTGAGTTCTTATCCCAACGAAACAATTTCCCGGGCTCTGCAATACCATTTCTGCTGTACTGCGCATGTGCACGGTCCAGGAAGCTCCCCGCCAGCCCTGGTCCCTCTCCAAGCCTTGGAAGGCTCTGGGCTGCTGCTCGGTCCTCTTTCACGCGCGAGAATCTTCAGGGATTCTGTCTCCCAGAGATCCTGACCCTGACAGGACTCTGGATTTCTGTGTGTCCCGGGCACTAATGAAGCCCAGGGCCCCTGGACAGCCCGGTCCCAGGTGACCCGCTGGAGAGAGAAATCACAGTGCTTTGTGGGTGGGAACAGTTCATGCTTCCCCGCCCGCCGGGGGACAGTGCGCGGTCCCCGGCCCTCCTGCGGACGCGTCCGTGCCACAGGGCCCTCCAGCCAGGAGGCTTCCTCGCCTGCCCTGCTGTGCAGCCCCGCCGGTCCTGAATTCCCTGGAGGATCTAGGGTCTGTTTTTGTCTGTTCGCGCTCCGCTGGCGCCCAGCTCCCGGGGGAGGCACCTCCTGGGGACAGGCGGTGTTTGCTCAGCCCCGCAGGCTCCAGGCCCCCGGGGAGGCCGCGCCGCCCCACCGCGCTGGGAGCAGGCTTTGTAGTGTGGACTGGCTGTTTGCATTTCGGGCTCTAAGGAGAGGGTTGCTCCTAATTAAAGGCGTAAACGCTTTAATCCTGGCCTGGAGGCTTCCCATGGCACATTAGCTGTATTAGGAAGGAAATGGATTGTAATCCCTTTAATATAAGCCTGGAGGAACTCAGGGGGCTTCCACTTGGAGAGAAGAATTTCCTCCTGTGAGTCCACAATATTAACAAGCTCAATTTGCATAGACAGAATCTCGGGGCCTAGAGGGGTGGAGTGGGGGGGGGGGGACCCGGGTTGGAGCTGGAGGAGTTCTCCAGCAGTAACCGAGCTCCTGCAGCAGCACCCGGCAGGGGCCAAGAAGCGGGCTGCGAGCTTTTGCCCGCTGTCAAGAGGAAGCGGAGCTCAGGGGCGAGGGCCTCCCTGCGGGCAGAGGGCAGCCCCAGCTCGGACTTTCCGTCCGCACTGGTTTTGGGATCTTTCTGGCTTCCTCTGAAATAACATTCATCTCGGTGTAAGCGTTCTTCTAAGCCCGTGTCGTTTTCTGTAATGCAGTTAGTTCACCTCGTCCTACAATTTATATGATGTGATTGAAACTTTTGTTTGTTTGATTGATTGATTAGTACAAGAGATTGAACCCAGGCTTTCACACTGAGCTACATCCCAGCCTTTTTTTCCTACTAATTTTGAGACAAGTTCTCACTGTTACCTAAGCTAGGCTCAAATTTGAGATCTTTGCTTCAGTTTCCCTCAGTGCTGGGATTACAAGCTTGTGCCTCTATGCCTAAGTGACTGAAACTTAAGAAACAAAACAAAACAGGATCAGTGTATCTTTACCCCCCCCCCCATATGCTGTTTAATCAAACGTGAACCAGGAAAGGTGTAACAGAGCAGTCCTTCAAGAACGCAGGGTGTCTTCTGGTGGAAAAATGAAAACCTTAGTGTGAGCCTATGAAAGCCAAGGGCACTGGCATCCGGGTGGAGGGGTCCACACACGTGCGCACCTCAGGTCCCATCTGGGGACTCTGAGGCTTTGGGAGTCAGGCCACCCGTCCCGGCCACATACCCAGTGCCCAGCTGCTTCTGAGTTGCTGTGGTGGAGCCTGAGTCACTGTAGAAACGGAGCGGCAGCAGAGGCTGCCAACCAAGGGCGCCCGGGGGGCCTTAGCAGCTGCATTTGACTCCAGCAGGGACCGAGGCTTTCACCCCATCTCAGAACCCCAGGCTTTGTGAGCTGCCTGCCTCTGGCCCCTGCCACTTCCAGGTACTGATTCAGTCCTAGAATCCACTTTTAAAATGCCTCTTACACTGGCCTGCTTCTCTCCAGAGTCCCTAGAACCTCATCCTGCCTGTTCGGGCCACACCATCACACATCGGGAAGGATGAAGTTGAACACCTGTCCAGGGAGGTCACTGCTCCCGTCCAGCTCGTCCAGAGCGGCACCCGTCTCTACCCAGCCCTAGCCTGGAGTGGAACCCTCTGTCCCCTTTAGGACCCCTCTCATGTGAACCCTCTCTGCTCACCCCAAGACCAGATCACATCCCTGCTCGGTTTTCCTCCTCCAGGGCATTTGTGATAACTGTCATTGCAGGCTCTTTTGCATGGTTATTTCCTCCCCCTCACCCCTTTTCTGGGACAGGTCTTACTCTGTAGTTCACGCTGGCCTTGAAGTTACTGTATAGCCCAGACTGGCCTCAAACTTACAGTGATCATCCTGCCTCAGCTTCACAAGTGCTGGGATTACAGGTGTGCACCATTTTGCCTGGCTTATGTGGTTACTTATATATTTGCTACCATTCTGTTGTAACTTCCTTAAGACAGAGACTGTAATTTTATGAATATAATTCCAGGCCCTCAAAATGCCTGACATTGAGCAGGAACTCAGAAATTATGAGACAATATTTGGCGTGATGAATACTAAGTTCCTTCTCAGATGCATCAGTTCAACTTCCTACCCTCTTTCCAGGTGGATATTATACTTTTGTTCACAAATTGTCTTTATTACTTTTCTCTCATTCCTGGGAAAAAATACCCAACACCAAATGAAGGAAGGAAAGGGTTATTTAGATTACTGTTTGTGGAGGTTTCCGTCCATAATCAGTTGGCTCCAAGGCAGGGTGGCACAGCGCTGGGGCAATACTTCAAGGCAGCAGCCAGCAAAGGAACAAGAAAGGCATGGTGAGAGCAAGGCTTTTTTCCTCCCTTATATGCAGGCTACCCCCTACCCCCCAGGTAGGGAGAGTTACGTGTAGCACTCACGAAATCTCTGTGCCTTCCTCTTTTTTTTTTTGTCTTTTTCCTTTTTATCAGTACCAGGGATCAAACTCATGACTGAATACTTGCAAGGCTGGCGCTTATGCCCCTGCACTAGACCCCCAGCCCCTGTGCCTTCCTCTTGTACAGGCTGAGCATATTTACAAAGTAAGGACCCTGGCTCCCTGCTGAGTCTCTTAGTTAAACTTTTAAACTTCTCAAGTTGACACAATGTATCAACCATAACACAGGTGGTCATGATCTTAGGACAGGAAATACAGACACATTGCTTGACATGGATGTGTCTGTAGAAATGCAGTGGCAGGCAATTTCATGGTTGTATGCCATTACAGAGTCCGCCTACACTGTCCGGGCGGTATAGCCTCTTACATACCCGGCCTGAGTAGTTACACATGTATGCACAGACCACTGCTTCCGGGGACCTTAATGAACAAACAACAGGAGAGTAAGTCAACCACAAGAGAAAATGTGCACTCAAGGGATGTAAACACGAGATCTATGAGGTTGTTGCCAGGAAAACATGACATGTTTCATCACAAGCTTTTTAAATAAATAGGACTACAATTAAAGTAATAACAATATGGCAAATTACAACTCTGGAGGAGTCATTTATTATCGTCATCAAATAATATATATTATCATCAATAAATATATATTGCTATATTTTTTTTGAGACAGGGTCTCACTGCGTAGTCTAGGGTGGCCTTGAACTCACTGTGTAGCCTAGGCTGGCCCTGAACTCATGGTGGTCCTCCTGTCTCAGTTTCCCGAGTGCTGAGATTACAAGTGTGTGTGCACCCCCACAATGGTCTATCCTGGGTTTACTCTGTACCCCAAAACAAAATGACAGCTGGGTGTTAGTAGAAACAGCCAGCTTAACGTTCAGTCTTGAGATGGTTGGGACTGTTTCAAGCTGGAAGTTATAGAGACTCCACTGCAATTTGCTTGGCATGAAAAGGGATATACGGGCTTACATATGCTGCAAAGTAAAGATGTTCAAGCTTCAGGAGTGGTTGCATCTAGGGGCCTTTTTCTCTGTATCAGTTTTGCTCTTGGCCAAGCTCTCTGCACCTGGTGTTAATGATGACCTCCAGTAGCCCCAGGCTCACGTGGATCTTACACCCACACTCTCAGAAAGAAGGGTCCTTCCTACGAATGGGAGGGGGAGCGCATCAGCCTAGCTTGGGTCATAAGCTTCCACCTTATTGCTGTGGCCCTGAGGGTGGAAGTTCTGGTGGCCGCATGCCATGAAGAGTTCCCGTGGGCTGGCACCACCCACTTCACAGGGCCCTAAGGAGAAGGGAGCCTCCGTTTGCTGTGTCTCCAGCTCACGAAATGAGAGTGTGGGGCAGGCAGCCTTGTCCATGTCCACGAGGCTCAGACCAGCGCCTGGCACAGGAAAGTGCTCAGGAAACATTGCTGGGGAAGTGGGAGGAGTCTGGGCGCTCAAGTGAGACTCAGGAAAGCTTCCTGGACGAGGTGGCCTGAAGGAGGGTGGATGTTTTTCATGGTTCGGGAAGATTAAAGGTTTCATTTTACCACTTTGAAGCATGCAGTTTCGTGGCATTAAGTGCATTCACAGTGTGCAACCATCACCCAGCGTCATTTCCAGAACATTCTCATTTGCGCGTGAAGGAAACACTCCTTTCCCCTTCCCCTGGCCTTAGTAACTCTTCTCCTTTCTGTCTCTCTGAGTCTCGCCGCTCCAGGGACCGTGTCTGTGTGTAAGCACACATCATTTGTCTTTTGTGCCTGCTTTTTCTTAGCGTAAGGTTTCCAAGGTTTTCCCCTGTTGTAACAGGGACAGATGATCTAAGGGTAAACCCAGCCTGGGGGGCTGACTAGCAAACCCACATCACAATGACCAGGGCCTGTGACTCAACAGCCTCCTTGCACAAGTCAGCTCTTCTCTGGGACAGCTGGGGGACACAGCAAGGGGGCCCTCTGAGTGGCAGGGACAGCTAGGGCTGGAAGGGCAGAAGTGGCTTCAGCCTTGGAGGAAAGGGGGGTGAACAGTGCCCTTGCTGCAGCTGGTGCCCAGCCCAGGAAAGGAGCCATCCACACATAGAAGGCAGGTGACCAAGGGGCCTCCAAAGTTTAGCCACTACCTTGCTGGCCACAACCTGCACCCGGGTGTGACATGCAGTCCTTGCCAGGAACTTAGGGCCCCCTGCACACACAACATGTGGATGAACTCACCTGGGACCTCAGGGAGCTGCAGGGTCGGAAGTTCTCCCCTGGGACTGCAGAGGCCCCTGCAGCAGCTTCCTCACCTTGGCTCCTGAGCTGGGGGTGCTGAGTCTTTTGCCTGGGCCTTGGTTATTCCTCTAGCTTGCAGGGGGGTGTCCTGTGTCCCTAGGAGAGCCCTCCACTTCTGTCACCTTACCCTTAGTGGTGTTGCATCAATAGGTTGCAGCCGGCAGTGGTTGGAGCACTTACACCCAGGCATTAGTGGATACTGTGAACCTGGGGTTTATGTTTGCCAAAAAGATGACTGTTAAACATTTACCCACACCATCTGGTTCACCTGGTAAAGCCGATGTTTGAAGAGTCCTAAATCATCCTGAGTCCACTGCATCGTCTTTGTGCGGGGGCCCAGTCCCCAGCCCTTCTATTCTTGGGCCTCCTCCAGCCCTGGATCATGGGGTAATGTGCAGGGCAGAACCCAGAGGAGGTGGGCAAAATGGACAAAGGGGACCAGGACAGCTGTGCTTGGCTGGCACCGCTCTGGGGAAGCAGCTGTTCCGCCTGATTGTGTCAGAGCTGGGATAACTGATTTGTCTGTCTAGGTCCTTGGCCATGGCAGGTGTGGTGTACCCCAAACAGGTGAGTGCTGTGGGTTTCTGTCCCTTGTGACTGTCTCAGGGCCTGGCAGTCTTAGCAAGCAGGGGAGAGCTAGGCTCTTTGGGGTTCCATCTGCTTATCGTTGTCGAATGATTTTTTTTTTTAAAACAGGGACAAGAGAGCTAAGTGTTTACAGTACTCTGGGTTTTTCTTGATTTAGCATGCATTTATTAGGCTCCCACAGTGTTCCTGCATCTGTGTTGGACTTTGGGACTGCAGAGGTGTCTAAGATAAGGTCTCAATCCAGTCTCCTACCCCACCCCCCAGGATGAAGCTGCCATGAGGGCTGCAAACCCTGCTCTCCAAGCAGAGGGAAAAAGGGGTAGATTCTTGGAAAGTGGTGAACAGAACCTTCTGGGTGGGTGTGGCATTTAACCCAGGTCTGGAAAAAGATACCTAGGGGTTCCAGGTTGCTCAATAACTCCCAGCCTGTGCTAGGCAGGAAGAAGCCAGGTGAGACAGAGGGTGAGGGAAGAGGCCTCAGGGGCAGAAGCCAATCAAAGGCTTTATGTAAAACAGTGACAAGATGCAGCTCCTCTTTCATGTTCCCCCCTGTCCTCCAGGACCAGGTGGATTTAGCCATATACCAAAGCTCCTACATGGTGGACTACCAGCCCTATGGGAAACAGAAACATTCTACAGTCTCGCCGCAAGAGGTAGGAAAGCATTCTGGGCTTATCACCCCTTCAGTCCCCTGAATCGGTATCTATTTCATCTGTCATCTGAACGTGGACATGGAGCACCTACTTAAAATAACATTGATGCCAAGTGTTTGATTTTTGACTTTCAGGTCTTCTGTGTGTCCATGAGTGTGCATGTACAAAAATGGTATTAAAGACAAGTCATGCACACAAAGACTGTAAATAATGCAAATGTAGAGCTTAAATTAAAACACTGCTCAAACACTGATAAAACACGGCCAGCTTCGGAGACAGGACACATAGTTTCTACGTAACACCCAGTGCTTCCCTCCCCATCTCTGGAGGAAGCCAACAGTCTGGGATTGAGCTTAATCATTCTTTTGTGTCTAGTTTTCTGAAATAGTTTTATCTTGTATGTATGTATTGCTTTAAACAAATTGTTTAATTTCATGTACCTTTGGTATACATTAGATTCTTTGTACTCTTGCATGGCCTCTACTTTGAAACACTGTATCACTAGATGAGTTCACTAGAGGCACAGATTTACTATTAGATATATACAGTGTACAATATTCATAGAATTTACAAGGCAGGCTTGCCATGGCTTCCCAGCAGTCAGGTATGAGGAGGTAAAGGGCCGTCTGCACACTGGAAATCCAAAGGATCCATTCAGTGTCCAATGAGAGTCTGTATCAGGAAATCAAAGAATCTTCACTAGAACCCTAGAGATGAATGTCCAACGGTGATGGAGAAGATGAGAGTTCCTCCAAAGAACCAGATGTGAGACTTCTTCTTTCTCTTTTTATTCCATCGAGGCTGCAAGCCTACTGGTTGGTGCCACTCACTCCCAGGGTGAGGCTTCCTCCCTCCTCATTAAGTGCATCATCCAGATACACCTGCTATGGCAAACAGAAACAAATTTGGGGCTCATATGGGATAAGCAAGCAGGAAGTACAGAATCAGGGTATTTGGCAGTTATTGATTGGTTCTTACAATGTATATTATAGTGACCAGCCATGCAGCATAATGATCAGCTATTCTCAAGAAAGAGAAGTACAGCCAGGTGTGGTAGTATGTGCCTGTAATCCCAGGACTCTGGAGATTAAGGCAGGAGGATCATTGTGAGTTCGAGACCAGCGTGGGCTACAAAGTGAGCTCAAGGCCAGCCTGAACTGCACAGCAAGACTCTTGTCAAAAAGAAACAAAAAGAAAAAAAAGAAAAGAAAGGGAAGTAACAGAAATTGTAAGAGGAACTGAAGTAAACTTGAGGTTACCTGGCCAACTAAGAGAATCTGAAGTATACTACGAGGAGACATTTTCTGCCATACACCCAAAACGGAGCCAAACCATCAGCCAGGCATTGCTTTGAAAGCTAGCTGTGGTGTCAGCTTGAATAAGCAATGCCTGGCTGCCCTCTCTACTGCTCAGCATTGCATTACACTCATCTGCCATGCCTATGTAGCTGTCCCTACTGCAGGTGGATGCTTGAATTACTTATCTTCTCCCTACTGTCCCCTTCCAAATACGTGGTTAAAACAGAAGGCACCTTCATGTGTGTGCACACATGCTATTCATAAACTATTAGGAATACTCACTCTTTTCCAGTTTTCACATTATCACCAGCAATGGAAGGTCACTCAGTGACTCTGCAATCTTGCCATCACTTGGCATTGTCAGGCTTTTAAATTTTTGCCAGTTTGGTAGGTGTAAAATTGTATATTCCTGTGGTCGTAGTTTTCATTTTGCTATCAGTGAAGTTGGCCATCTCTTCCTGTTTATGGATATTTATTCTGTGAAATGCCTGTTCCTGACTTTAGCCCATTCCCCTCCCCATGGATTGCTTTTTATTTTTTTCTTATTAATTTATAGGAATCTTTGTTTTTATTTATTTTTGGATTGGGGATCAAGCTCAAGGGTATGCTAGCACTGAGAGCCACATCCCCAGCCTTTATTTTATTTTTAAAACAGGCTCTCACTTAGTTGCCAAGGTTTGCCCTGAACTTATGATTGTCCTGCCTCTGCCTCCCTAGTAGTTGGGATTACAGGCATGTGCAACTCTGCCCAGCAGTAGAAATTCCCCAAATACCCTAGTCCTCTTTCGCTTGTTAATTGTATGTCTGGCATGATTCTTCTTTAGTTTGTGGTTTATCTTCGCATTCTTTTAGTGAGCACAAATTCTTTTTTTTTTTTTTTTTCGGCTTTTTTCGTTTTTATCGGTACCTGGGATCGAACTCACGACTGCCTGCTTGCAAGGCAGGCGCTTATGCCGCTGAGCTAAATCCCCAGCCCCTATGAGCACAAATTCTTACTGTTAGTATAATTGGACTTAGGCAACCCTCCTGTCTCTCGGGGGGTTTTCTGTTCTTCATCCTTATTTCTGTATAAATTTTCCTACCTCCATTGTTCCTTAGAGTTCATTTTTCAACTTTGGGGACCATGAACTCAGCATATCTGACACCTAGCAGGTAGAGGAGTTACATATTTTCCCCCTATATCATCTTGGCGCTCCCACTGAGACCACTGGGAGGACAGTTTCAACTACTAAAACTATCAGGATTGTTTGCAGATCAGAGCTAGAAAAGTAACTGCACTATGAATACAGCCAATATTTTGGCCCTGGCCCTCCACGTTCAACAAGAACTCAGAACATGAGGGAACATTTTCTACAGGATGCTACAGCTCTGAGTCTGCCAAACTCTAAGTGATCGTGCAGATGAAATCAAGAATAAATGTGCCAGATTCCTTTTACTGGGACCCACTAGATCAGCCTTGTAAACAGAACTTAAAACTGCTAAATAGCAACATGGCTCCAGCCAAGGCCTATTAGTGAGCTCTCTGGAGAAGGCCCCTGACTGTGGCTTCCCCTACAATCAGCCCAAAACAGCGAGATGGAAACTTCTCTTTTCTCCCTTAACTGCAGTTAGGGGCTAGCTCTTCAGGGGGAATACTACAGACAACCAAGTTAAGTAGAAATATTAGAGGCTGTCAGATAGGAGTAGACGCTTAAGCGAGATGGTGCAGAAGCAACATGGCTGGAGGTGCATCTGAGGAGGATTAAAGTCACAATGGCCAGATTTGCGTTTGTCCCTAAGGAAGTGTGGTGTCACCCTTTTGAGATTTCCCATATAAAAAACCACTATCTCATTGGGGTGGGCCATCCTGTCTCACTCACTGAGACTGAAACTAGTAAAACTAAAACTATAAATTATCAACTAAGGTTAATGGTGTCACCCATAATAGTAGCAAGGTGGCTATCATTTAATCTTATTGGTTATTAGAATTTGACCTTTGTTATAGCCACCCTTCATGATTTTGCGCTATAAAACTTTCTCAGAAAAGTGGGCTCGTCGACACCCATTTGGGACCTCTCCTCTCTCTCAGGAGCCATTCCTAATCCCCATTCCTATTCCTCAATAAATTCTTGCTCTTAAAAAATATAGAGGGGCCAGGGGTATAGCTCAATGGCACAGCACCTGCCTGGCAAGCACGAGGTCCTGAGTTCAAATCCCAGTCTAAAATGTATATAAATTTATGTATGTGTATTACACATATATAATCAAGCTGGGCAAGACCCTGTTTCCAAAGAACCTGTACAAGCAAAAATTATATAATTAGAGTTATCAGTATCTTCCTTTATCATTTCTTTTTCCTCTTTTTCTTTCTCTTCTTCTTCTACTGCTTCTCTCTCTCTCTCTCTCTCTCTCTCTCTCTCTCTTTCTCTCTCTCTCTCCCTCTCTCTCTCTTTCTCTCTCTCTCTTTTCTTTCTCTCTCTCTCTTTCTCTCTCTCTTTCTTTTTGGGCAGTGTCTCCCTGTAACTCAGGCTGGCCTTGAACATACTATGTACTATGCACTCCATACTGACCTTGAACTCTTGGCCATCCTCCTACCTCAGCCTCTCCAGAGCTGTGATTACAGGTGTGTACCAAACACCTGGCTTTTCCTTTTTAACACAAGCAAATCTTTCCTATACTGAGGTAGCCTCACCAAAAGCCTGATCGATATAAAGGTAGAACAGTTTCTAAGATCTGTTATTTAGTGGAAGCTGAACATAGGATGGAAAGTAATAACATGAATCATTTGTGTATAAACTAAGTGAGGGAGATAGACACATATGTTTATTAGTGTAGTGGATTAACTAGTAGCTTGAATTGAATCAGTGTGGTGCTGGGTGTGGAAGACCCACCTGAGGATTGTGACCAACTGCATAAAAAGAGAACTGGAGGGGAAGATGGTGCTGCTGAGTCTCCTAGAGAAGCTTGTTGTGCTGATTTTCCTGATATGAACTCAGCTGTCCTCATTGGAGCAGCTTGGGTCCTCGCTATCACTGAGGACGGCTGTGTTCTCTTCAGGGGAGCTCTGGTCCTTACCTTGAGCCTCCCGGAGCCTCTCCTGGTTCCAGTGCAGCTCCCTCAGCCTGCTGGCACTGATCCTTCCTCCCACTGGTGCGGACTTTGTAGTCTTCTTCACTGACCTTTGGGCCTTCCCAGTGTAGATCCTTCATACAGACTTGCTTGAGTCACTGTCGTGGGCTCTAGGCCACTTGCTGGGCTTGGTGGGGGGCACTGTCATGGCTCTAGGTCTTCTGCTGGATCGTGCAAGACATTGCTGTGGCATCCAGGCCTTCAGCTGCACTCTTTGGGTCTCTGGTATACAGACAGATCTCCCACACTCTTTTGCATTTGACTCCTTGGAAGAATATTATAAAATAATCCTATAAATTAGATGTCCTGTATTGTCTTTCCCCTTGTAGACCTTGACTACGACAATAGGTATATAAAATATTTCTACCAGCCTGGCAAGCATGAGGTCCTGAGTTCAATTCTCAATACCCCCCAAAATAAAGTAATTAATTAAATGTTTCTAAAAAAAATTTCTTATGAACACTGATAACAGCAGTTTCCTCCAGGGATGGACCAAGAGAGAAATAAAATGGAAAAGTCACTTTTCATTACAAACGCTTCAGTATTTCTCTATTGTGCATATTTTGGGGGTGGGGGTGGGGTACCAGGCAAGCGCTCGAGCCATTGAGCTAAATCCTGGCCCTCTGTTGTATGTATTAACATTTAAAAATGATTTTTTTTTTTATTTTTGCAGTGCTAGAGGACTGAACCCAGGGCCTTGCGCATGCCAGACAAGTGTCCTACCTCCGAGTTACACCCCAGCCTTGAGAATTTTTGCGCTTTTAGATACTTCTGAGGGAAGCCGCCTCGTCCTTCGCCTTTCTTTTGTATTTATTTACTCATTTCGTTTTCGTCCTTCGCCTTTCTCTGCCCTCTATTAACGTGGGATCTGTTTCCACAGCAGGCAAAGCTGGACACCCAACTCTGGAAGGAAGAGCTGTACAGGCCCAGCCCTGACCCCACCCCCAAGCTGGCAGATGGGTACCCCGCCTTCAAAAGACCCCGCATGACCGCCAGAGACCTGGGGCTCCCCGGCTTCTTCCCGCCACAGGACGACGCGGCCAGCGCGGAGGACCAGCGCCCTTTCAGCAGCATCTGCGGCCCCGTGTACCCCGCCTCCCTGGCCCTGCACCTGGCCCGGGGTCCCCCGAACCTGCTCCAGCAGAGCGCCCACTTCCCCTGCCTGCTGGAGCCCGAGCGCCAGCCCGCTGCCCACGAAGGCAAGGGCTACCTTCTCCTGCCTGGCTGTCGCTGTCCGCGACACCAAAGCGCCAAGGTCCCAGTCCTGTACCGTTGGGGACCCTTGATGCCGTTTTACCAGTAGGAGGAGGGACAACCCGCCGTTCTGAGGGCGCGCGCAGGGTGGGGGTGGGGGGTCCTGGCCCCTGCTCAGATCTGGAGGACCAGAAGGGAATTAAAAGTTAAACTGGAAAGATGCTCCAGCAGCCGGGGCTGCAGTCACTTGGGCCCTACCCGGCACCTGCAGCTTCAATGCAGAGGGAGGGAGGGAAGGTGCCCCGACTTGGGGGGCTAGAGCTGACTCACGGTTGGAGGCGGGGCCCCTGGGGCTGTGACCCTCCACTCCCTTGCACTCTGGTTCAGAGCTCCCACCTTCATGTGAGCAGCTTTCTCCGCCAGGATCCTCAGCCCTGTGTGCTGCCCTGCACTGAGCTGTGGGCCAACTCCTGTACTTTGGGGGTGTCTGGTACTTTTGTCCCAGTGATAAGAAAGTGACTAAGACAAGGTCCTTCTGAGCCCCCACTGGGTAAGAGTCTTGGTAAGAAGCACCCACCCCTCTTTCTAATCCCATCTCTCGTTTCCACCAGACTGCTCCGAGCCAGAGGAGCCCAGCTCGTGTTAGACTCCACAAATGGCTTATCTTAGTAGATGCCGACCCTCACCCCTGAGTTAATGTAATCATCACCTTCCTTTTGTAGCTGAGAAAATCGAGAGCTCAAGGGAGTTTAGTCAAGTGTCACACAGGTGGTAGCTGAGCTGGATTTAAAGTTGATGTCTTCCCTCCATAAAAGTCTCTTGTGGGGCGGTCCATTTCTGCAATCCCAACACCCTGGAGGATGTCGGGGAGTTCCAGGCCAGCCTGAACAACAAAGTGAGACCCCACCACCCACAAACTCGCTTTGATTCCGTTTCCTCAGGTGTAAAATGAGAATCCATGTTGGGCCCTGATGGTGCAGGCCTGTAATCCCAGCGTGCTGGAAGGCTGAGGCAGGGGGATCCATAAGATTGAGCCCAGCCTGGGCAGTTTAGCAGTTTAGTGAAATTCTGTTTCATGATAAAAAAAAAAAAAAAAAAAAAAAAAGGCCTGCAGATATAGCTCGAAACAAAGGTCTTGGGTTCATAGATTAAATTTTTGAACAAATGGACTTAGTAGATATCTGTAGAGTGTTCCACCCCACAACATCAGAATACACATTCTTCTCAACTGCACATGGATGTCCTCTAAAACTAGACCATATACTGGCTCATAGAACATGCTTAAGTTGGATTTAGCTCAGTGGCACAAGCACCTGCTTGGCAGGTGCAAGGTCTTGAGTTCGATCCCTGGTACCAAAAAAGAAAGTGCTTAAGTAAATGCAAAGGAACTGAAATTACCCCATGCATACTATCAGACTATAGTGCAATGAAATTGGAAATTCATGGCAAGAGAAATCACAAGAACCTCATAAACACATGGAAATTAAATAGCACCCTACTGAACAATCAGTGGGTCACAGATGAAATTAGAGAAGGAATTAGACAGTTTTTACACTTGAATGATAATGACAAAACAATATAACTGGAGCTTGTGGGATATAATGAAAGCAGTCTTTAGAGGGAAATTTATAGCAGTAAATACCCATATCAGGAAAACAGAGCAAGTGCATATAAACAACTTAATGGTGAACCTCAAACTTAGGTGAACCTAGCAAAAGAAGAGGAGGCTAAATCAAAAGCTCATATGAGGGAGGAAATTATAAAGATCAGAGCAGAAATTAATGTACTGGAGACCAAAACACACAATACAAAGAATCAATTGAAGAGTTGTTTTTTTGAAAGACTAAATAAAATTGACAAACCCTTAGCCAACCTTATCAGAAAAAGGAAAGAAAAAAACTCATCTGTGTAATTAGGAATGAAAAAGGTGAAATCACAACAAATCCTACAGAAATCCAGAAGATCATCTATACCTACTTTGAAAACTTGTCTTCTAATGAGCTGGAAATCAGAAGAAGTGAACAGATTACCAGATACATATGAATTACCAAAGCTGAATCAAGAAGATATAGAAATCCTAAATAAACCAATGTCAATCAATGAAATTGAAGATATAATCAGAAACCTATCAACAAAGAAAAGCCCAGACCCTGATGGATTCACTGCTGAATTCTACAAGAAATTTAAGAGAATATCTAACAACACTATTTCTCAAACTCTTTAATGAAATTGAAAGGGAAGCAATATCCTGAAATTCATTTCTGGAAGCAAGTGTTACCCTGATACCAAAACCAGAGAAGGACCCAACCAAGAAAGAGAATTACAGGCCAATTTCCCTAATGAACATAGATGCAAAAATCCTTAATAAGATACTGGCAAACAATGCAGCAAATCATCAAAAAGATTAATACACCATGATCAAGTGGGTTTCATCCCAGGGATGCAGGAGTGGTTCAACATATGTAAATCCATAAATGTAATACACCATGTTAACAAAGTCAAAGATGAAAATCATATGATCATCTCAATAGATGCAGAAAAAGCTTTTGACAAAGTCCAGCATCCTAGCATGATAGAAGCTCTATGGAAAAATTGGAATAGATTGTCTTTGTTTTTATCTGATAACTCCATCCATGACAAACCAACAGCCAACCTCATATTAAAGGAACAAAAAACTATCTAAAATCAGAAATGAGACAAGGATATCCACTGTCTCCATTCTTATTAACACAGTCCTACAAACTTTCGCCGGAGCAATTAGACAAGAGAAAAATAAAAGGAATAAAGATAGAAGTTTAAGGAAGAAGTTGCTATTTGCAGATGACATGATACTCTACATAAAAGACCTGAAAAACTCCACCAGAAACCAGGTGTGGTAGCTCATGCCTGTAATCCCAGCTTTTAGAAGGCTGAGGCAGGAGGACTGTTGTAAGCTCAGACTAACCTGGGCTACAAAGTGAGCTCAAGCCTGGCCTGAAATAAATAGCAGGACCCTGTCTCAAAAAGAAAACAAAACAAAAACTCCAGTAAAAGACTACTAGATTTAATAACCAAATTCAGTAGCATAACTGGATGCAAGTCAACACTCAAAAAAATTAAAAAACAGTTTGAGAAGTAGTGTTGTTAGATATTCTCTAAATTTCTTGTAGAATTCAGCAGTGAATCCATCAGTGTCTGATGGATTTTCTTTGTTGATAGGTTTCTGATTATATCTTCAACAGCCTTCCTGTACACAAATAACAAACTCACTGAGAGAAATCAGGGAAACATCTTTTACAATAGCATCCAAAAAAGAAAGAAATACCTAAGAATCAATCTAACAAAGGATGCAAAAGACCTCTATACTGAAACTATAGCACTCTGAAAAAGGTGATTGAAAAGGATACTAGAAAATGGGGGCTGGGGATTTAGCTCAGCGGCATAAGTGCCTGCCTTGCAAGCAGGCAGTCATGAGTTTGATCCCTGGTACCGATAAAAACGAAAAAGAAAAAAAAAAAAAAAAGAGAGAGACCCCTAGTTCATGTACTTTAAAGTTTTGTTATAACTTTTTTCTTCCTCTTTTTTCTCTTTATATTTGGATAAAATGGATTTTTAAAAAATGGAGAGATAGCCCATGCTGTTATCAAGGAAGAACCAATATAGTGAAAATGGCCAAACTTCTAAAACTGTTATGCAGATTCAATTCTATCCCAATCAAAATTTCAATAGCGCATCTCACAGAATTAGAGAAATGACTCCTAAAATTCATCTGGAACCAGAAGAAACCTAGAATAGTAAAGTAATTCTGGCCAACAAAGATAAGACAGGGGGTATCACAATCCCTGACTTGACGTTATACTATGAAGACTATGATAAAGACAGTTTGGTACTTGCAAACAAATAAACAAAACCCCTAAAACTCAATGGAACAGATTCAAAGATGTAGAAACAACTCTAGACACACTAAGCCACCTTATCTATAACAAAGGTACCAAATACATTCACTGGAAGAAAGATAGCCTCTTTAATAAATCTGGAAAAATTAGCTCTACACATGCTGAAGGTTAAAACTGGACCCATATCTTTCACCATGCACTAAACTAAAATCAGAATAGATGAAAAATCTTAACTTTTTTAAAAGATCTTAGTATTAAAACAAATATTAAATCCGCTAGAAGATAAGTAGGTAAAACTCTTGAAGACATTCATGTAGGCAAAGACTTCATGAACAAAACCCCAACTGCACAGAAGTATCACAAAGAATCAACAACTGGGACCTCATCTTACTGAAAAGCTTTTTGCACAGCAAGAGAAACCACCAACAGAGTGAAGAGACAACCCACCATGTGGGAGAAAATGTTTGCCGGCTGTTCTTCAGAAAAGGATTACTACTGAGAACATATAAAGAACTCAAAAAACTCCTGCCAGATTTAAAGACCCAATCCAAAAATGGGCATCTGAGATGAGCACACACTTCTCAGAGGAAGAAATACAAACAGCAAAAACATATGTGAAAAAATGTTCAACATTACTGGTCATTCAAGAGATGCAAATAAAAGCTAAAGTCTGCCTCGCTCCTGAGAGAATGGCTACCATCAAGAAATGAAGCAATAACAAATGTTGGAGGGGCCGTGGGGAAAATGGAGCCCTTCTCCACCATGGAAATCAGTGTGGAGAGTCCTCAAAAATTAGGACTGAGAAAAAACAAACTGGGATTGGAGGTCCCTTTCAACCCAGTTATTCCCCTTCTGGGTATCTTCCCAAAAGAAAGACATTATACCACAACAATATATGTGCACCATGTTTATAATCTGTAATAGCTGGATCTTGGAAACAACCCAAATATCCATTGACTGAAGAATGGATTTAAAAAGATATATTTTTATAGAATGAAGAACTACTCGACCATAAAAAAGGATAAACTGGAGACACTTACAGGTAAATGGATGCAATTTGAGACCATATTCATAAATAAATCAGACAAGTGTGTGTAAACATCATTTTGTCTCACTAGTGTGAGAAGCTGAAAGAAACAACTTATGTATGTATGTATGTGTGTGTATGTGTGTGTGTGTGTGTGTGTGTGTGTGTGTGTATTATAAATAGTTAAGATAGTTACCCTACCGATTTCTGTAAGTTCGCTGAAGAGAAAGATTTGTGCTGTATAGTTTGGACAGTTGTAAGCAGATGTCTTGTGCTCTGGATGAATGATTTGGGGATGACAATACACAATGTATGTACCA